TTAACTGCTTGAGCCACAGGCGCCGAGCCAAGGAAAGGTTTTCTAATAGGGGTCACTGCATGCCACACTGGGATGAGCTCTTAGGGAAGTATCAGAGTTGGTCAGAAGACTGAGGGATGAGGGGAAATCAAGGGCAAGAGCCTTAATTGTGGTTTTTCATGGGAGAGGGAAAGAGTGAGGCACTTCAGTGAAATTGGGTTTAGGATTGATTAGCAGGAATAATTTTGACCTGCTCTAAGACATAAGGATTGCCCCTAGTTGTCTGGTACCTGGCCCTGGGTGATTAGAGCAGAGGAATAGTGGCCCTGAGTGTTGAGAGCTCTTAAAGGAGGTGGTTGGGGGTTGGGCTCTGGATTGGTTGGTTTGCACATGTGAAGGGCAGTCATTCATTGTCTCTAGGAATTAGCTATCCCTGGGAGGGGCAGTCTTTCCTCCAAAGCCAGCAAGGCCCCAAGATGTCATAGTATCAAAAAATATGGAATAAAATAACATACTTAATGCATGCTAGTTGGTCAGCAGCTCCTTGCTGACTTCCTTTGAGTGGCATGAAAACTGTTGTTCTTTGTCCATACGTGGGATTATTCAATAAAGTGAACCTGTAAGAAAAATAAAACTTACTCAAGTTCTTTCTTACAGCTACATGGAAAAAAAATCTTAGAAATTTTGGAGGAACTCTATACCTGGCTCCCGATTGGTACAATCATTGACAATGAAATCCTGGTCACACATGGTGGGATATCAGAGTCCACAGACTTGAATGTACTCCATCGTCTAGAAAGAAACAAAGTAAGAAGTAATGTTGACATGAATCTTGTCTCAGAAGTTTATAAGGGAATGTATACCTCTTTTCACTTGTTATAATTGGATTGATTTATGTTTTAGTGGTTGCTGTAACTCTGAAAAGATTAGTACAAATTTTGGGTGGCGCCTGTGGCTCAGAAGGGTAGGGCGCTGGCTCCATATGCCAGAGGTGGCAGGTTCAAACCCAGTCCCAGCCAAAAAAAGATAAGTACAAATTTTAAGAAAATCTATGTGTTGAGGGTTGGGGTCCTGGTTCCCCAAACCCACTTGACCTGGTTCAACTACTCAGCTAAACTAGAAAGTTCGACTGAGGCACAGCAGTAATCGAAAACAAAAGTGGGTGGAAACTGAAGCGGCACAGAAAACTGGGTCGGCACAGATGATGTGGACAGAAAGCAAAAGTAATCACAAGTTTCAGGGTAATAAAGAGAGATTTGATTTAGGAAGAACAAAGAGAAAGTTTAGAGCTCTTCCAAAGAGAGTTGGAGAAAAGGTAAGAGAAAGATGGAGATGCAACAGCCTGCAACAGTATAAATACTCTGTGTTTGAAATTAGTTGCAAGTCTTTCCTTGGTCTCTCTGCACCTGGAGGCAGTATTGCCCTTTTGTATTGGTCATTGATTGTCTTTTTCTGTTGGTCATTGGTTACCTAGGTTACTTCATGCTCACATTCTTATGGGCCTTCCAGACTTCCTGGTTCAGCAGGCCAGGTTTTCTTTCTACTCCTGAAGCCCTTTTCTTAGTGTTCCTTCTCACTGATTGCATGATTAAAAGAACTATATGGGTAACTTCTATATATTGAAAATATTTTATTCAATTCATGTTGAGAGTGGAAAAATGAGAAAACATTAGCATTTTATATGCAGTAGTTTCTCAAAGTGAAAAATCTTGATTTTTAAAAATTCAAGTCTCAATTAATTCATTTATATTGCAGTAAAGTATATATACCGTAAAATTGACCACTGAGGCCTGATGGCTCATGCCTGTAATCCTAGCACTCTGGGAGGCTGAGGCGGGTGGATTGCTTGAGCTTATGAGTTCAAGACCAGCCTGAACAAGAATAAGGCCCCATCTCTACTAAAAAAATGAAAAACTGAACAAGAGAATCTCTTGAGCCCAAGAGTTTGAGGTTGCTGTGAGCTATTATACCACAGCACTGTACCAAGGGTGACAAAGTGAGACACTGTCTCAAAAAAAAAAGAAATTGACCATTGATAACCATTTTTAAGTATGTAGTTTAGTGGTCTTAAGTATACTCACATTATTGTACACCTATCACCTCTATCACCACCATCTATCTCCAGAACTTTTCAGTCTTCCTAAACTAAAATTCCTTACCCATTAAATGCTAACTCCCCATTCTTCCTTCCCTTCTAGCCTCTAACAACCACCATTCTACTTTCTGTCCCTATGAATTAGACTATTCTAGTTACCTTATATAGGTGGAACCCATATGGCAATTTATTTCTGAATTGATATGCTTTCCCTTATAATATATTTCAAATGGTTCAGGATAATTTTTTAAGTGTTTTAACCCTAAATAATTGTATTAGATACAAATAAAAGCAGAACAGGAGTCTTTGTAAAACCTCTTAGGGAGGTGTCCATGTGGTGCCTATAATATTCTACACCTAGTAAAGGGCTCCTTGGGTGGACCTTACAATTCTAGTTCTTTAGAATTGTCTTCCTTCTGTATCTGAGTCAGGGCAAAGCCCCCAGACTAAAGATGTAGGGAGTTGTCATGTTGGCGTAAGAACTAGTAGCAGCCGTGGAGCCAGATAATGATATACAGTGCTAGTGGGAAACCTGGATTGTTAGCCCCTTAGGACTGATAATTAACTTGTAACCAATATTGGGCAGGTGAAGTCTAAAGCTGGAATTTAATCTGATGGAGACATAAACCCCTTGTTGCACCTTGAGTTTTCAGAGTCATTAAACCTTTGTGCACGTATGAATGATAATATTGGTGGTAATGTCCTCTTATTCTTTTTTTTCTTTTTTGAGACACAGTCTGACTCTGTCACCCTGATAGAGTGATGTGTTGTCATAGCTCACAGCAACCCCAAACTCTTGGGCTTGAGCAATCCTCTTGCCTCAGCCTCCTAGGTAGCTGGGACTACAGGCTCCTGCCACTATGCCCGGCTAGTTTTTCTATTTTTTAGTTTGTTTTTTCTGTTTTTAGTAGAGACAGGATCTCACTCTTGCTCAGGTTGGTCTCCAACTCCTGCACTCAGGGGATCCTCCTGCCTTGGCCTCCTGGAGTGCTAGGACTACAGGGGTGAGCCACAGTGGCCAGCGTTCTCATCCTTTTAATTTCCACTTAAATATAACCTCAAGACTAGATCAGGTCCCCCTTTACATGCTGACAAGCCCCTTGTATATATCCTTCATAATAATTACCAAAATTAAATAAGGAATTATGGCACCATTTACTATCTTCCTCTGCTTCTCTAATTCACTGATAAAACCCCAGCACCTGACATGTAGTAAGTAATTAATATTTGTTGATGATCTTCTAAGAGATTTAAGAGAAAAGTAGGACAAATGTAAGACAAAACTGGATAGAAACTTTTTTACCACCCGTTTCCTGATTCTGTAGTGATTTTACATAGCTCCCTCCCCCACCTCACTGATAACCACACTTCCTGATTTGCCACTGTTATCCAGGTGTAATTGCTAATAGTGCTTCCTTTTGCACTCAAATATATCCCAGTTGCAGTTAAGTTTAAAGCACCTTTTTCATGATATCAGTGAATCCTCAAGCCAATAAGATATTTTGATCAAAATAAGATAGTATTAGTATTAAGATAACAAGTAGATACAGTTCCAGCCAAGAGCAAGGGAACATGTTTTTGTCAGTCAAATATTGACAAGCAGGTGGCATGAAAGCTACAGGCCACTACCACCATGCACCCTATGACTACAGTGCTAATTAGTCATGGCAGCCACTACTAATTGATTAGATTGAAAACTTTTGCTTTCTTGAGGTTAGCCTGAGCAGCCAGCCCTAATTAGGGCATTTGGAGATACTGGGAACATGTCTCTGGAATGCCCCTTTCTAGTTCTGTGGAGGCCCTAAATTGAGAGCTACCTTGACATAGGAAAGACTTCGAGACTCTGACATTAGACAGATTGAGGTCTAGGTTTACATCCTGACTGGGCCATTTCCTGGCTGGGTGACTGGACAAGGTTTTAAAGTTTTCCAATCTGCAGTTTCCATATCTATAAATTGGAGATAAAAATACCTACTATATCAGATCATTGAGAATATTAAGTATAATTACTTAGGTGAAGAAATGGCATACAGTAAATACTAAACATATAGCTCTCTTTTCTTTTTTTCTGATACTTGGATCTGAGGTTTGAATTTCAGTCACCAAGACAGACGCTGGGGAGTTTAGGGGCCAGCAATTTTCCCAGGATGCCTCAAATTTCACCCCTTTCAGGGATCACGGTTGAGCCTGCTCATAAAACTGATTTTAAAGATGTGAACTTTGGGGTGGTACCTGTGGCTCAAAAAGGTAGGGTGCCAGCCCCATATGCCAGAGGTGGCTGGTTCAAACCCAGCCCCAGCTTAAAAAAAAAAAAGATGTGAACTTTGACTTGTGTATTGTTTGTATCTTCTACCCATCATAGAGTTAGGTGGAACTAGCACTAGCAGCACATACTTGTCTGAAATATGATTGAACTGTAGTGAATATGTTAGGTTCACACCTTTGGTTCTCATCTTATCAGATGAGCTACAAAAGTAGCTTTTCAGGTCCAATTTTATAACTTCCCATCCCATAGGATCCTCCAACTCCCCAGGGTAGAGGTGAATATAATTCCTGGTTTACCCTTGTTGTTGTGGAATCATTGTTAATAGGGGAGTAGAAGGGGTAAGAGGACCTGGCAACAACCTGCTTCTAGGTTCATTAAAGGTATTTTGTAAGGTGGGAGGGTGGGGAGGTCAATGTAGAAGAACAGAGAAGGAAGATTCTGTAAGATTAAGACTCTGGTTTATATTCTTCAAACTGCCCAGCAGGGTATGTGGGAAAAGATGGCCAGTAGGACCCCCCCTCCCCAGGAGAAAATGGTGGTATGGTGCTTTAGGGGGTGCTAGAGCAAAGTATCCCATTCCCAAGTGGCCTTGAAAACTACAGAGCTGCACATACTTAAAGACCATGTGACCTTGCCAAATGAGCTTATCAGAAGTGAGTTGTGTAGACCCATGTTCAGAGGATCCTCCCAGAATATTCTGCTGTATGACCTGAGGACATTTGCTGGCAAGAGACAAGGCAGGTAGGCTGTGAACTAGCTAATAATAGCTGAGATTGAATTTCCAACTAGCTCAATGAGACAGGACCTCAGAATAAGATTCAATTTAATTTTGAAAAATAAAAATAAGATTTCCTATACACCCTAGTGAGTAGAAGAAACTAAGCATCTACCACAGAGAATTGTCCATCACTGAGCTGTGGCCAACAGTGTAACCAAAGTATTATTGAAAATTCTTTTGTATAAAGGTATGATGCTACAAAGAATCAAGTATAAAATTATAGTCTCAGATTATGGGAGGGAACACAGAAGGGATTATAGTAGTAGTTGATATACTATCAGAAAGACAATTTATTTTCAAAAAACAAAATCCTATTTTCTAGGATTTGGACCACATTCAATTGTTGGCAGGTTGAGGTTGAGAACATCGCTGCATTAGGTTGAAGGGCTTCCAAAGTTTTCAATTTGTGTCTCTTTTGAGAATTTTCCTAGACAGAGATGTGATTTTTCTTATTTCTCCTGGAAAACACAAGAAAGCAAAAAGCACCCACACTCTGACAAGGTGTTTCTGAACTCCTTAAGACTCAACTCCAGGCTCAGCGCCCGTAGCCCGTAGCTCAATGAGTAGGGCACCAGCCACATACACTGAAGGTGGCAGGTTCCAGCCCAGCCCAGGCCTGCTTAACAACAGTAACAACTGCAACCAAAAAAAAAAAAATGGCCAGGTATTGTGGTGGGTGCCTGTGGTCCCAGCTACTTGGGAGGCTGAGGCAAGAGAATCACTTGAGCCCAAGAGTTTAAGGTTGTTGTGAGCCATGACACCACAGCACTCTACCGAGGGTGACATAGTGAGTCTCTGTCTCAAAAAAAAAGACTCAACTCCAGGTGTAGATAAACCTCAAAGGGAGGCTGGTTTTTCCTATACTAGCATCTTCCATTTCCTGTGTTGATGCCTGAACATGTCTAACAGCTTCAAAACCCTAATGAAAAGCTTTCCCTGTATGGCAGTGTCTCTAGTTGAAACATGTACAAACAGAATTTAACAGGCCCATTTTACAGACATCCTTGGATTAGCAGATATAGGAGGTGGTACGATAGAAAAGGTGACTGTGGCTTGGTCCTGTAGCTCAGTGGTTAGGGCACTAGCCACATACACTAGAGCTGGCAGGTTTGAACCCGGCCGGGGCCTGCTACACAACAATGACAACTACAACAAAGAAATAGCTGGCCAGGCATTGTGGCAGGCACCTATAGTCCCAGCTACTTGGGAGGCTAAGGCAAGAGAATCACTTAAGCCCAAGAGTTTGAGGTTGCTGTTAGCTGTGACACCAGAGCACTCTACCAAGGGCAACACGGTGAGACTCTGTCTCAAAAAAAAAAAAAAATAGAAAAGTTACTGTGTGTTTTTCAGTGGGTTGAGGCACAACAATACAGACAGGATCCCAACTGGTGCTAAGTCTCTGCATGCCACACAATAAGCAGCGGGCTTGGCTAAAACATGAATTTGTTTTATAGATGAAATCTGTGCTGATACCACCAATGGATGTAAGTAGAGACCAGGCTGTGGAATTTGAGCAAAGTAGAATGGGTATATCTGTTTCTGCGTCAGAGATATTCAAACAAGGCGAAACTTCTGAGCATTTATCAAGGCATGAATGGGAACAGGTAGGTACTCAGCATGTTCACTGGCATGAAAATAAAGATACCACCATACATATTACAATATATAGCCAAAAACTGACTTTTACTTTATACACAGACCAGATCATTCTCTCTGAATTTATCACAGTATTTTAAGAGCTTTATTGAGATGTGATTCACATACTATATATCTCACCTGCTTAAAGTCCAAAATTCAGTAGTTTTTAGTAAATTCATTGTGTTGTAAACCTATTGCCACAATCTAAGTTTAGAATTTTAGAATATTTTCATCATCCAAAAAAGAAAGCCCTATACCTATTAGCAGTCACTCCTATTACCCCCAGCTCTCTCCACAAACTCCAGCCTTAGGTGACCACTAATATACTTTTTATAGATTTTCCTATTTTGAACATGTTATAGAAATGGGCAGATACACTATGTGGTCTTTTGTGTCTGGCTTCCTTCACTCAGCACAATGTTCTTGAGGTCTACCTACGCTATAGCATGTCTCGGTACTTACTTCTTTTTATTGCTGTATAATATTGTATTATATGGATAGATACATTGTATTTATTCATAAGTGGATGGACATTTGGGTTATTTTTTCGCTTCTTGGCTGTTATAAATAATGCTGCTGCAGACATTCACATACAGGTTTTTATGTGCATGTATGTTTTCATTTCTCTTGGGTGTATGCCTAGAAATAGAAGTACTGGGTCATAAAGTAACTCTGAAGAAAGTTTAACATTTTAAGAAAGTTTCAGACTGTTTTCCCAAGTGGCTATACCATTTTACATTTCCACCAGCAATGTATGAAGCTTTCACTTTCTCCACATTCTCACTAACACTTGGCTATTGTACATCCTTTTGATAGTAGCCATCATGGAGGGCAAGAGGTAGAATTTCATTGTGGTTTTGATTTGTGTTTCCCTAATGACTAAAGATGTTGAGCATCTTTTCATGTGTTTATTGGATATTTATAGATCTTCTTTGGAGAAGTGTCTATTCAGCTCCTTTGCCCATTTAAAAAATTATTTACCTTTTTATTATCGGATTGTTAAGAGTTTTTTTATAATTCTAAATACAAACCCCTTATGAGATACATTTTTTGAAAATATTCTCCCCATTCTATGGGTTGTCTTTTCCCTTTCTTGATGGTGACCTTTACAGCACAACAGTTTTTAATTTTGGTGACACCAATATTATGTGTTTTTCTCCAGTTCCTCATGTTTTTGGTGTTGTATCTAAGCTGTTGTCAAACTCTAAGTCACAAAGATTAATTCCTTTTTCTTTTTTTTTCTTGAGACAGAGTCTCACTATGTCACCCTTGGTAGAGTGCCATGGCATCACAGCTCCCAGCAACCTCAAACTCTTGGGCTCAAGTGATTCTCTTGCCTCAGCCTCCCAAGTGGCTGGGACTATAGGCACCCACCACAACACCTGCCTTTTTTTTCATTGTAGTTGTCATTATTGTCTAGCAGGCCCTGGCTGGGTTTGAACCCGCCAGTACCCGTGTATGTGGCTGGCAACCTAACCACTGAGCTGCAGGCACCAGGCCTATTACTTTGTTTTCTTCTAAAAGTTTTAGAGATTTAGCTGTTACATTTAGATGTCTGATCTATTTCTAGTTAATTTTTGTGTATAGTGTGAAGTAGAATTCCAAATTCATTGTATTTCATGTGGCTATTCAATTACTCCAGCACTATTTCTTCACAAGATTATTCTTTCCTCATTGAATTTTCTTGACACTTATCAAAAATCAATTGACCATAACTATAAGGGCTTATTTCTCAACTCTTAACTCTGTTTCACATGTATATTTTTATCTTTATGTCAGTACTATACAATTTGGATTACTATAGCTTTGTAGGAAATTTTAAAACTGGGAAGTGTGAGTTCTCCAACTTCTTTTTCAAGATTGTTCTGGCTATTCTGGGTCCTTGAATTTCCATATGAATTTTAGAATCAATTTATCAATTTCTACCAAAAAGCAGCTGGGTTATTGGTAGGGATTGCCTCGAATCTATAGTTCAATTCAAGTACTATGGCTAGCTTAACAATGTTATATCTTCAATCCTGTGAGCATGGGATGTCTTTCCATTTATTCTTTAATTTCAGCAGTGTTTTGTACTTTTAAGCACAGATTTCTTGCATTTGTTTTGTCAAATTTATACTGGTCTGTAGTTTTCTTATTATATCATTGTCTAATTTTGTTATTAGAATAAGATTGGCTTCATAAGATAAGTTGGGAAGTATTATCTCCTTTTTTATGCTTTGGAAGAATTTGCGAAGGATTGATACTAATTTTTCAAATGTTTTGGTTGAGTTCGTCAGTGAAGCCTTCTGAGATTTTCCTTGTAGGAAGTTTTAAAATCACTAATTCAATCTTTTTTCTTGCTATAATTGTATTCAGATTTTTAATTTCTACTTGAGTAGTAGTTTGTGTCTTGGTAGTCTTGGTAGTTTTGTTTTTCTTAGAATTTGTACATTTCATCTGATTTATCTAATTTTTTGGCCTAAATTTGTTTGTAGTGTTTCTTAACAATTTTTTTCTCCTATGAGTCTGGTAATAATATTCCCTCCTTCATTCCTGATATGAGCAATTTGAGTCTTCTCTCTTTTTGTCTTAGTCAGTCTCACTAAGGTTTGTCAATTTTCTTGATCTTTCAAGGAACCAGTTTTTGGTCTATTAATGTTCTCTATTGTTTATTCTCTATTTTACTTACCTTTGCTCTTATTTTTATTATTTCCTTTCTTCTGCTTGTTTTAGGCTTAGTTTGCTCTTCTTTTTCCAGTTTTTTACTTGGAGGTAATGTTGATTTGAGATCTTTTTAATCTATTAATAAAGTTATACATTTATCTATAAGTACTGTTTAATTCCATCTCATAAGTTTTACTGTTGTATTCTTTTTTTTCTTTTTTTGGAGACAGAGTCATACTCTGTCACCCTGGGTAAAGTGCCATGGTGTCTTAGGTCACAGCAACCTCAAACTCCTAGGCTCAAGTGATCCACTTGCCTCAGTAGCTGGGACTACAGGAGCCTGCCACAATGCCCAGCTAGTGTTTGAGATGAGGTCTCACTCTGGCTCGAGCTGGTCTTGAACTCCTAAGCTCAACTGATCCACCCACCTCAGCCCCACAGAGTGCTAGGATTATAGGTTCAAGCCACAGCACTCAGCCTATGTTGTAGTCTTAATTCTTTCATATCAAAGTATTTTCTAAATTCCCTTGTGATTTCTTCTTTACCCCATGTGTTATTTAGGAGTGTATTGTTGAATGTCTACATATTTGTAAATTTCCCATATTTCATTCTTTTAATGGCTTCTAGTTTAAATTGACTGTAGACAGAAAACACATACTTTGCATGATTAAACCCCTTTAAAACTTGTTTTTTTCTTTCTTTGGTAAATCCTTTTAAAACTTACTGAGACTATTTTTTGTGGCCTAACATATGGTCTATCCTGGAGAATGCTCCATGTGCACTTGAGAAGACTATATATTTCACTCTTTTTGGTGGAGTGTTTTATATTTGTCTCTTTGAGCATATTTATAATAGTTGCTTTGAAATCTTTGCTAAGTCAACATCTAGCCACTTTAAAAGCAGTTTCTATTACCTGCTTCTTTTTCCCCATGTATGGGTCATATATTTTTTTTGCATGTCTTATAATTTTTTGTTGAAGACTGGATATTTTGGATAATATAGTGTAGTAACTCTAGATAGTTATTTCTATACCCCCCTTCTGAGGCTTGTTGTTATCATTTGCTTTTTTGTTTGTTTATTCATTACCAGTGACTGGTCTGGATAATTTAGTACACCCTTCAGTGTGCAGTTCCTGAGGTGATTCCTCACAGAGTGCTGCCTTGGGCGTGCACACAGCTTCCGTAACCACCAGGGATGCTTGTGGTTTTAGCTGACTCTCTTTGACTCTCCTTTAAGCTTCTGGTCCATCTGCCTCTATTTATATCAAACCCAACTATTTCACACAATTAGCTTTGACAGATTGTTAGCTAATTGCTCCATTGTTTTTAACAATGCTCTAGACCACAAACTCTCTATAGTCTGATTCAGTTGAAGCTGAGGCGGGGGCAGGATGTTGAGCCTCTTTGAGGCTTACTCTAACTCCAGGAAGGCTCTTCTCATCTGTCTCTTTACCTGACTCTGTCTGTTAAAGTTCTAGCTAGTCTATTGTTGTTACTAGTATTGTGAAACTACCAGCAGTCCTCTGAGAGCTTATTCTCAAGATCCCCATTGTTTTCAATAGTGCCCTTAGGCATGAACTTCCTTAGCTTTGCACCAAATAAGTCCAGTCCCCTTAAGCAGAGTAGCAGAGGTCTCCTTTCTCAACCCATGTCTCCCCCTGGCCAAACCTCTGTGCCAGTGCACTGGAGCTTGGAGCAAGCATAGCAGCTTCCCTTGGAGTGACAACTCAGTTCTAAAAGTGGGTGGTAGGCAGGGATGTTTGCCCCTCCTGGCATGACACTTCTTCCCTATGAGTGAGTAAGGGTGGGGACGATTGAGATTAGGTGCAAGACTAAAAGTCTTGGGGTAGAACTTTTCTACCCAGTGAGGAAAATGGGGTAGAACTTTTCTACCCAGTGAGGAAAATGAGCCCTTGTTCTCTCGGCCTCAGCTTGTGTAACACAGAGCTAGAGGGTAAGAGAGAGGCCCATCTGCTTGCCCCTTCTGGGGCAAAATGAGAGCCCCCTACTTGGAGCTAGGAGAAGGTGGAGTCCTGTCTTCTTGGATATACTCACCTGGAGTAGAGTTCCCATATACAGTGATCTAGGGGTAGGGATTATGGTAGATCATGACTTAAATGCCAGAAACTCTCTTTGTTGATACCAAAAGTTAGTAAATTTTCTCAAATAAATGTTTCTCCACTTGCTGTATGCCATTAGGACAATTTCCAGAGACTTTAATTGGTTTTAAACAAAAATATTTTAAATTTATTTTTTAAACTAATTAAGTACAGTAGTAAGAAGAGAGGAAAGAGTAGAACAAAGAGTTTGATCTGTAACTGACCTTTGGACCAGCTTGTTTAAAAGAATTTTTTTTTTGAGACAGAGTTTCACTTTGTTGCCCCCTGTAGAGTGCTGTGCTGTCACAGCTCATAGCAACCTCAAACTCTTGGGCTTAAGTGATTCTCTTGTCTCAACCTCTCAAGTAGTGAAAGTTTTAAAAATAATTGTCTCATGGCGGTGCCTGTGGCTCAAAGGAGTAGGGTGCCCGGCCCAAAGGCTGGAGGTGGCGGGTTCAAACCCAGCCCTGGCCAAAAACTGCGAAAAGAAATTGTCACAAGTTAAATGACTATTTTCACTGTGGACAGGGTCTGCCAAGCTCTTAACACTGCTGTTCCTGTCATTGTGTTTTAATTTTGAGAATTTGAATGAGCATTTCCGTAAACAGGGATGTAAAGGCAGTAAGACATGTACTCATCTTTGTGGCAGTATGCGTACTCTAGAGCTGCCTCTCTGGAGTCGCTGAAGCTTCTGGCATATAGTAAGAGCTATAAATATTCCTCCTATTTATTCCTCCATTCAGCAAGAATGTATCAATCACTCTTGAGCACCCTTGCTCATTTATCTTGCTAAATTTCCTATCCTACATTCTAACTGCCTTCCCTGCCAGTTTTTACCCCATATGGCAGGGATGAGTACTTAAGAACAACTACATATATTATCTCATTCAATCCTTAAACCAACCTAATGACACAGGTAGAATTATTCTCATTTGACAAAAGAGAACACTGAATCTTGTATCAGTTGAATAATGTGCTCAATGATGGGGCTGGATTTGAATCCAAATTTGTTGAACTCTAAACTTTCTGCTTTTAATTGCTAGGTCATACCATTTCTCTCACAGTAGGAAGTGGTGTTACAGGACACTGCTTTTCAACTTTTTAGATGCAAATTTCATGACCTCTTAGAAAGGCCTTCATAGACTTTTCTTCAGGTTTCCTGTTCTGAGTTGAAAAAAAAATTATTTCAAATGGATGAATGCTTAATGATAAGAGCATTCTTGCTGTAGGTTGAATCGTAACCATAAGACTGTTTTCTTATTCGTATATAAACACACATACATATATTTGTGTGCACATGTGTGTTTACAAGTGCACATAAACACATACCCACATGACATTGGTAACATCTGTAGCTAGAACAAATAATTGAACATGTTACCAAACAGTGTTTTAAGCTATTTGTGTCCATTAGGTAATTGTTGGAGAAGCATCTGTTTCTTGACTTGATACTTATATCTTGATTGCTGAAAATGTTGACTAAAAATGTGGTTTCTGATATAAAATATACTCTAATCAATGAGGGAAAAAGAGAGAGGTGAGGAGAGAGAAATGGAGGGAGAAACAAAATTCATTACTGGCTTGTGCATCTAAAATATTTAACAATCAATAAGTATAAGAACGATCTCATGACAAGTAGGAAAGGATGCCTCCTTAAATTTTGACATTCAAATTCCAAAGACTAAAGGTTAGAAAAAGCTCTTCTAACGTTATATGAATAAAAAGGATAATTAGGAAGAAATTGGAGTTACACAAAAAGAAAATCATGGCCTCTGGAAGCTTAGATGAGTTAGAATGGGAGGGAGGAAATTGTGGGTCATTATTCTGCAATGGAATCTCCCTCCACCATAACAATATAGATGTGGCATCTCACAGACTCCACACACAGGACTGGAGCTGACATAGGGTAAAGTAGACCAGAATATCATTCTGATATTTTAATAATTTTTGTTGTACCCCTAATTTTCTTTCCTCAGTTTCTGGTACATAGTGGAGATGCATGCATCATTTAGCCAGAGTTGAAATTTCCAGATAAAGACAGCTCACAATTATTTTATTTCTTTTTTTGTTTAGAGACAGAGTCTCACTCTGTGACCCTCAGTAGAGTGCTATGGCATCACAGCTCACAGCAACCTCCAGCTCTTGGGCTTAGGCCATTCTCTTGCCTCAGCCTCCCAAGTATCTGGGACTACAGGCACCCACCACAAGGCCCAGCTATTTTTTGTTGCAGTCTGTGCGGGGCTAGGTTTGAACCTGCCACCCTCAGTATATGGGGCCGGTACCCTACTCACTGAGCCATAGGCACCACCCTATTTTTATTTCTTAATATCTATGAGCTATGTTATAATAAAGATCATATACTGATTATTTTGTTTTGTAGTCATGGAAATGCATAATTCTTGGCAGAGTGCTATAGTTTAAATTTTACCTTATGTTCCCTGAAATGTGGGGGATACATTTACTAAGAGTTAAATCATTATACAGAGATATGAATATGATACTCTCTTTTAGGACAGATTTATAAGGAGAGGCCACAGAGGTTTCAAAAATAAAATTAATTATTTATAATTTGAGCAATTCCCTTCTCTTCATTCATTTAACAGGTGTTTATTGAGGAACTACTATGTGTCAGACACAGTTCTAGGCTCTTGGGAAATGTCAGTGACCAAATAAAGATCTGTTGCCTTGGCTCGGCACCTGTGGCTCAAGTGGCTAAGGTGCCAGCCATGTACACCTAAGGTGGCAGGTTCGAATCCAGCCTGGGCCCACCAAACAACAATGATGGCTGCAACCAAAAAAATAGCCGGGTGTTGTGGCAGGCGCCTGTGGTCCCAGCTACTTGGGAGGCTGAGGCAGGAGACTTGCTTCAGCCCAGGATTGGAGGTTGCTGTGAGCTGTGATGCCACAGCACTCTACCCAGGGGGACAGCTTGAGGCTCTGTCTCAAAAAAAAAAAAAAAGATCTGTTGCCTTGCAGAGCTTACATTTTAAGGAGAGCTATTAGATAATAAACAATATAATACTAAGTACGTAAATGATATATTAAGTTATGTTACAGCTACAGTCTGGATAAACTTAGTTAACAGTTACAGTCCAAAGGGGAAGGAGTTAGGGACTGACCCCATCAATGTTTTATTTTGTGTATTTATTTATACAGGACAGCAGAACATACACAAACAAATGAAACTCTGCCAGTGTCTGGTATGTGCCTGGTATAGGTTTCTCTAGTTCTGACCATGTGCTCTTCACCCCACTTCTTCTGCCAGTTCTGCTCTTCTCTTCCCCTCACTTATTTCTAACTTCCTTTCCATACCAAACGTATACATGCATTTATAGTCCAGTTTAGTGGAGCAGCCATTTCTAGTCCTTTCTCATGCCCTATTTTGACCCACTGGAATAACTTCATAACCTCAAATCCATGCTTTTCATGCCCTCAAGAGAAGCATGTGGAAAATATAGAATCTTGGAATCACAGTCTATTAGAACTTTCAGATGCTTTATAGGTCAGCTGGCCCAAATGCCTGATTTTAAACATGTTAAAGTGGGTGGCACCTATGGCTCAGTGGATAGGGCGCCAGTCCCATATATCTAGGGCGGCCCCGGCCAGCTAAAAACAGCAATGAAACCTGCAACAACAAAAAATAAATAAATAAAGTACTAGATTCTATTTATAAAAAGAAAAAAAAGTCGAAGTGAGACCCTTAGAGTTTTCTCAACGTTGTATAGCTTTAGTGACAGAGTTTTTCTCACTACTCTTTAAGATGTTTAAGAGGTTTAAATAAAAAAACATTGTAGATAGATGAGAGCCACAAAGAGGGAGCCTCTGATTTTCTATGAGAAATCCTCTTAAAAACTTGAGTCTTCAATCCTCGGTGTCATGTAACCTGCATTTGCCTCTAGCAGCCCCAGAAGGAAAAGTTATGCTAATCAAACACTTGTGGATTTGGGAGAACACATTGTGGCATCCAGCTAGTAGCTAAGTGTGTGGCTGAACTTGAGAATTTACTTACCAAGGAGGGAAATGCTGTAAGAGATGCTCTTGGATGGACAGATTTCTGCATTCGTCATGGGAAAGGGCAAGGGCTTCCTTAGGCTGGGTGCTCAACTGGATACAAATGTGGGCCAAAGCCACAGTGATGAGACCTACCTTATCTCTTAATGTGTAGTGGTAGTAGAGAGCTACTTTTTCCTCTGAACATGAAATGAAGCAGTTTTTAAGAGAAAAGAAGTTGGTAGATTCAACAGTTATGAAATAATTGTAATGGCATTTTTAAAGACAAAAAAAGGTGGGAGCAAGGGCTGATTTTTCCTGGTTACTGTCTGTTTCTCCTTTGGTTATTGTTACTGCTAAATTGGTCATTGGGGTTAAATAGAAAGGGGTTAGAATGGCTATGGGCATTAAAATTATTCTGGAAAGGATTCATAGAGGAAAGGAGTATGAAACACTTTTGAAGGAGAAATGAGAAGTAGCCTTTAGCCTTTGGGATAACTTGTGTTACTATTTCTGGCAAATAAGTTGGAATCTAGAAAGACAAACTCTCACTTGTAAATTATAGCCTATAGCCTAATCTAGTTTGTTGTTCTAAGGTTATTGATATTCTGTGGAGTGATCCTAAAGGCAGAAAAGGCTGTTACCCGAACACATGTCGAGGAGGGGGCTGCTATTTTGGACCAGATGTTACCTCCAAGATTCTTAGTAAATTCCAGTTGAAGATGCTCATTAGGTCTCATGAATGTAAGCCCGAAGGGTATGAAATCTGCCATGATGGGAAGGTAAGATAATGTTGTTGATGATGGTCTCATAAACATCATTCCCCCAAACATAGTCTTTTGTTCACAGAGTGTGATTGACCTAAAAGCCCATGAGAACAGGTCTTACCTAGAAGCCCATGAGAAGAGGTCTTCCCTAGAACCAAAGAGAAGTGAAAATGTAGGGTTCACCTAGGTTGTTTGAAGGGGCCTCACTGTCCTTCGCCCTGAGAGATATTTGAATTATTTCTCAGATCTTCCCTAATCCCAGAAAACAGAAATTCTGACACAAAGGGCTAAGTACATTCCTGGAAATGCTTTGTTCTCTGCTAATTATAAGGCCACTTCATAAAAGGCAGCAGTGAATCCAGTTAGCTCACTTTTATTCTTTTCATGTTCCCTACACAGGGGTAAAAACAAAAAACACACTTCCCTGCAACAGGCCGAGCAGGCGATCTCCAGCAAGTTGTCTACTGTAGTCAGGTTAGCTGCAGCCACTAAAATGGAGTGTGCTGTGTTCCTCCAGTAGTGATGAGGCTAGAAGAGGGGAAGACTGAGGAACTGGTTTCTTGCCCCAGGTTGTCCTATGATGCCCCTTTTTCCATAGTGAACATCAGTTGATAAGCATGAACACCAACGTGTGGCGTTTCCTTCTGTGTCAGTACTTACTTTCTGAACTCTATTAATTCATTTTTGGCTCATACTAATGTTGCAAGATGAGTAAGGCAAGGATTATTTAAGGTTTCTTTGTAATAAGAAAATAGAAAATAGTGGTGGCTTATCTGAAGTGATATGCTCATTAGGACAGAACTGGGTCTAAGCCAGATGCCTTGTCACCAACAGGTATTTGTTCTCTCCTATTTCATCACCACCCCGAGGCTAGTCTCTTCCCAAGACAGTGAGTGGCCATGGTCCTTTATTCCCTGCCCTTAAGGTACTGGTTTTGTGAGGCCCTGGGCCTCCAGTTCACTCAGCTACAGGCAACAGACTGAGATACTAGACAGATTTTACTTTGAATGCTCAAATATCACAAAGCAAGAAAATAGGGATTTATCCTCTTGGAAAATTAGAATTTGCAAAACCAAACATTAAAGAGGATTCTAAGAGTCAACACTAAAATTGTACACAGGATTGCAGGGTCATGCACTGGGGATATTGGGTGAGTGGCTAGGAGGTAGTACTCCTGGGGAAACTGGGTAAGAAGCCTTGTTTTCCTCTGATGGAATCACAGGAAATCACTTCAGACATGGATAATTTGCAGGGATTATGAAGTTTAAGTTTTGCTTTTTAAGAATTGAGCTATTTCTGAGATTGAATGATCTTTTTAAGAACTAATTTTACACAAACCTGACCTTCTTTTTCTTTAATTAGGTTATAACTGTATTTTCTGCTTCTAATTATTATGAAGAAGGCAGCAATCGAGGAGCTTACATAAGACTGTGTAGTGGTATGAATCCTCGATTTTTCCAGTACCAAGTAACCAAGGCAACGTGCCTGAAACCTCTTCATCAAAGGTATGTATAACTCTAAAGAGAATTCTGAACACTGGTATTGAGGACCAAACAGAACATCCCAAATTACTAAGAGTGAAGACAGTCACTTATTGGTTACTTATTTGTATAAGCAAAATGGAAATAGTTCCAGATGCCAAGTGGTTAACAGTCACGTAACAGTGCAGGGTGGAGAGAGACAAGGACATGGGAAAATAAACACCCCATTGGTATATGACTTTAATGGACCCATATTTGAAACCAAAAGAGCAATGTTCAATTCATACATCTTTTTAGATGAACAAAACAATCAGCACCTACAACCATAACTGAATGTGAAAGAAGCAGCTCCCCACCTAACCCTAACCTGTACACTTCTCTGCCCCACAGGCAGCTTTGTCTAGTCTTGCTCCCTCTTCTCTGCCCAAAAGTATATGTGACTAAAACAGTTGAGTATCTGGCTGGACATTGTGGCTCATGCCTGTAATCCCAGCACTCTGGGAAGCGAAGGCAGGTGGATTGTCTGGGCTCAGGAGTTCAAGACCAGCCTGAGCAAGAGTGAGACCCCATCTCTAGTAAAAATAGAAAAACACTAGCCAAGCAGGTAGATTGCCTAAGCTCAGGAGTTCAAGACCAGCCTGAGCCAGAGCGAGACCCCATCTCTACTAAAAATAGGAAAAGCTAGCCTGAGCTCAGGAGTTTAAGATCAGCCTGAGTAAAAGCAAGACCCTGTCTCTACTAAAAATAGAAAAACTGAGTGAGGCAAGAGGATCACTTGAGCCCAAAAGTTGGAAGTTGCTGTGAGCTATGACACCAAGGCACTCTACCCAGGGCAACAGCTTGAGACTCTGTCTCAAAAAAAAAAAAAAGCTATAACAAACATTCCTATATATGGAACTCATACAACTGAATAGCAAAAAAATAAATAATCTAATTTAAAAATGGGCAAAAGACTTGAATAAACATTTTTCCTAAGATATACATACATATGAAAAGGTACTCAACATCACTAATCATCACAGATACAAATCAAAACCACAATGAGATACCACCTCACACCTGTTAGGGTGGCTGTTATCAAAAAGACAAGTGAGAACAAGTGTTGGCAAGGGTATGGAACTCTTCTACACTGTTGGTAGGAATGTAAATTGGTAAGCTATTATGGAAAACTGCATAGAGTTTCCTCAAAAACTTAAAACTTGGACCACCATATAATCTGGCAATCCTATTTCATGATGTATATCCAAAGGAAAAGAAATCAGTATCTCATTGCATCATTATTCACAATAGCCAAGTTATGTAAACAACCTACATGTCCATCAACAGATAAATAAAGAAAATGTCATATCTATATACACTATTTAATTTATACTGGAAAATGTCATATCCATATACACTATTATACTAACAGATAAACAAAGAAAATGTCATATCTATATACACTGTTTAATTTATACTAGAAAATGTCATATCTATATACACTATTTAATTATACTAACAGATAAATAAAGAAAATGTCATGTCTATATACACTATTTAATTTATACTAGAAAATGTTATATCTATATACACTATACTAACAGATAAAGAAAATGTCATGTCTATATACACTATTTAACAAAAGATAAATACAAGTCATATTTGAGCACCTCTTGTAATTGCAGAAGTCAAATGTGACTCAAGTATTACAATTTTAATAGTTTTTTACTTTCTTAAAAATGTGTAATTTTTTTTGGCAATCTCTGAATATCTCACACATCCCTCCATATCTATATCACTGTCTCTTTCTAGTCATCCTTTGCTATCTGTGGAGGATTTGTTACAGGAGCCCCCTCAGATACCAAAATCCAAAATCCATAAATGTTCAAGTCCCTTCTATGAAATGGCATAGTACATAAAAAATGAGGGAGACTTTATGTCTTTTGTATTAACCTGGATGGAGTCAGAGAACATTCTACTTAGTAAAGTGTCATAGGAATAGAAAAGCAAGATTCCAATATACTCAATACTAATATGAAACCAATAGATGAACTACACACCCACATAAGAGAAAAACACAATTAAACTCAAGTCAGAGAAAGGGGGGAGGTGGGGGGTTTGGTGGGTTCTCACCTAACAGGTACAATGTAAAGGGTATATGGCACACCTCCTGGGTAAGGGGCACAACCACAAGTTGGACTCTACCTAAAAGCAAACAATGTAACCTAATTGTCTGTACCCTCATATTAATATGAAATAAAAAATGATTGGTTATACAAATTACAAAAAATAAATAAATAAATAAAATGGCATAGTATTTGCATATAACCTATGCACATCTTCCCACATACTTTAAATCATCTCTAGATTTCTTGTAATACCTAATACAATGTAAATGTTATATAAATAGTTGTTATACTCTATTGTTTAGGGAATAATGACAAGAAACAAAAAATCTGTACATGTTCAGTGTAAACCTAACCGTCTATTTTTTTTTTTTTCGTGCAGTTTTTGGCCAGGGCCAGGTTTGAACCTACCAGCTCCAGTATATGGGGCTGGCACCCTACTCCTTTGAGCCACAGGCGCTGCCCCCAGCCATCTATTTTATTTTTCAAATATTTTTAATCTACACTTGGTTGAATCCCCTAATGCAGAACCCATTGATATGAAGGGCCAGATGTAATACAAAATAGAATACTATTCAGCCATTAAAAAAGGAAATCCTAAATAGCCAGGCATGTGGCCGGCACCTGTAGTCCCAGCTACTAGGGAGGCTGAAGCAAGAGAATCACCTAAACCCAGGAGTTGGAGGTTGCTGTGAGCTGTGATCCCATAGCACTTTACCAAGGGCAATAAAGTAAGACTCTGTCTCAAAAAAAAAAAAAGGAAATCCTGCCATCTGTGACAATGTGGATGAACTTGGAGGGCTTTATGCTAAGTAAAATAAGTCAGACAAATACTATATGAACTCACTTATATGGACTCTAAAAAAATCAAACTCATAGAAATAGAGTATAGAATAGTAGTTTCCAGGGCCTAGGGGTTCAGTATGGGGAAATATTGGTCAAAGGGTACAATCTTCAGTTATGAGATGAATAAGTTCTGGAGCTCTACTGTGTAGCATGGTGACTATAGTTAATAATTCTGTATTATATATTAGAAATTTGCTAAAAGAGACTTCCAGTGTTCTCACTACATACACACACATGGATCTATGTGAGGTGATGCATGCGTTAACTAATGTGATTGTGGTAATCATTCCATAATATATGTATATTGAATAATCATGTTGTAAACTCTAAATATATATAATTTTACTCTATTATACCTGAATAAAACTGGAAAAAATCCCTGTGTGTGTGTGTGTATATATATATATGTACATACATATATCCATCATTTTTAATGATTTGATTTTTAATGTAAGATTTTAAAATATAGAATTTATGGATTTATATACATATGTGTTTAAAATTTAAATAGCTACTTCAAAAAGGTTCTAACAATTGACAATCTGAAGAACAACATACCAGTTTCTCCACATCCTCATTAGTCTCAGATAGTATTACTGTTCATTTTTGCCAAGCTTAAGGATTAAAATGATAAATCTCATTTTTAGACAGTTAAAGTTACCCATCTTACAGTTCTGGGCCATTGCATTTTCTCTTTTAGTTTTCTATTTATATCATTCCCTTGTTTTGTATTGGATTGTCATTTTGGGATCAATTTTTAGGAGCTCTTTGCATATGGGGGATAGGGGATTTTTATAGGCATATTGTAGATACTTTCTGGTGCCTTGATTTTGCTTTAGTTCTATGAAGTTAATTTATAATTTCATTATAACTTCTGGTTTTTCACCTTGTTTTGAAAAATGTCCCAATACCAAAGTAATAGAAATATTTCCTCTCCTCCCTTTGTACATATGTATTTCTTTCCTTATATTTAACAGCTTTGTTGAGATATGATTTAAATGGCATAGCAGGCATCCTCAAACTATGGTCCAGCCCGCGGGCCACATGCGGCCCGCCTAGGACATTTATCCGGCCTGCCAGGTGTTTTTGCCACCACTGCCTGTCCTGCTTAGCAGCCGATTTGTCCCGGGACCTGCAGTCTAGCCCTCCAACCGTCTGAGGGATGGTGAACTGGCTCCCTGTTTAAAAAGTTTGAGGACCCCTGGCATAAAGCTTACCCATTGAATTGTAATTCAATGATATCTAGTATATTTACAGAGTTGTGCAATCATCATCATTATCTAACTTTTGAACATTTTTACCATTCTAAAAATAAAACTCATACCCATTAGCAAGCACTTCCCAGTCACCTCCCTCCATCACAGCATGAAACCAATAATCTATTTTCTATCTGTATGGATTTGCCTATTCTGGGCATTTCATACATGTATAAATAGGATCATGAAATATGTGGTCTTTTATGGCTGGCTTCTTTCATGCAGCATGGTGTTTCTGAGGTCATTCATACTGTAGCCTGTATCAGTATTTCATTCCTTGTTATGGTTGAATAATATTCCACTGAATGAAAATAGCACATTTGGTTTATTCATTCATGAGCCAATGGACATTTAGGTTGTTCCCACATTTTGGTCATTATGAATCATGCTGTTATGAACATTCATTTACAAGGTTTGTGTGTACATGTTTTACTTGAGTATGTACTTAAGAGTGGAATTGCAGGATTATATGGTAACTATGTTTAATACTTTGAGGAACTTGCAAAATTTTTTCTCAAGGGGCTGAACAGTTTTACATTCCCACCATCATTGTAGGAGTCCAATTGTTCTACAGTTTTGACAGCCCTTATTATGCTCTCTAGCCCTGTTAGTGGATGTGAGATAGAATCTCATTGGTCTTGATTTGTATTTACTTAGTGATTAAAGATGTTAAGCATCTTTTCATGTGCTCATTGGACATTTGTGTATCCTCTTCAGAGAAATGTGTATTTCAAATCCTTTTTCCCCTTTTAATTGTGTTATCACTTTTTATTATTGCATTGTAAGAGTTCTTTATATAATCTATACATATGTCACTTACTAGATATTTGATTTGCAAATATTCTATCCCATTCTGTGGGATGTCTTTTCCCTTTCTTAGTGGTATTTATAGCACAAATGTTTTCATTTTAATGAGATCCGATTTATCTTTTTTCTTTTGTTCCTTGTGTTTTTAGTGTTGTGTCTAAGAAGCCATTGCCTAACTCCAAGTCATAAGAATTTATTCCTATGTTTTCTTCTAAGAGTTTTATAGGTTTAGCTCTTACATTTAGGTCTTAGATCCTTTTTGAGTTAATTTTTGTGCATGATATGAGGTAGGGGCTCAACTTTATTCTTTTATGCTTAAACATCCGGTTGTTAGTTGTCTTAGCACCATTAGTTGTAAAGACTATTCTTCCCCCATTTAATTTTCTTGGCACTATTATCAAAAATCAGTTGACTGTAATGTAAGTTTGTTTCTAGACATTTAATTTGCATTCCATTTATCTATGTCTATGCTAATGCAGGTACCACACTGTCCAAATTATTACAGCTTTGTAGTAAGTTTTAAAACTGATAAATATGAGTTGAACTTTGTATTTCTTTTTTAATGTTGTTTTTACTGTTCTAGGTCCCTTATATTTCCATATGTATTTTAGAATTGGTTTGTCAACTTATAAAATGCCAGCTAGGATTTTGATAGAGATTATATTGAATCTGTAGATCAATTTGAGGGCTGTTGCCATCGTAACCATATTAAGTCTTCCAAACTATGAATATGGAATATTGTTCTATTTATTTAGATCTTCTTTAATTTTCTTCAACAATGTTTTGTACTTTTCATTGTACAAGTCTTGGATTTATTTTGTTAAATTTATTTCTAAGTATTGTATTCTTTTTGATGCTATAGTAAGTAGAATTGTTTTCATTACATTTTTGGATTCTTGATTTCGAGTATGTAGAAGTAGAATTGATTTTTGTATATTGATCTTGTATAATCTTGATGAACTTATTTATTAGTTCTAATAGTTTTTAGTGGATTCCTTGAGATCTTCTATATGTTAGATCATATTATCTGCTAATGGATACAGCTTTACTTCTTCTTTTCCAATCTGAATGCCTTTTATTTATTTGTCTTGCCTAATTATTCACCTAGAATATCCAGTACATTGTTGCATAAAACCAGTGAGAGCAGATATCTTTGTCTTATTTCCAGTCTTAAGGGGGATGTATTCACTCTTTCACCATTAAGTATGTTAGCTGTATATTTTTTGTAGGCAACCCTTTTCAAGTGTGGGAAGTTTCCTTTTATGTCTAAAACCTCCATTTAGTTGAGTATTTTCATCATTAAAGAATACTGGATTCTGTCAAATACTTTTTCCTGTATCTATTGAGATCATCATGTGATTTTTGTCCTATATTAGTATGGTATATGATAGTGGCTGGTTTCAGATATTGGACAAACCTTGTATTCTTAGGATAAAACTCGCTCATGGTGTGTAAACCTTTTTATATGTTGCTGGATGCTAATTCACTAGTATTTTGTTGAGGACTTTGAGTATATATTCATAAGAGATATTGGTCTGTGGTTTTCTTATGATCTTTGGTTTTTCATCAGGTTAATACTAGCTGCTGCTTCTTTTTTTTTGAGACAGAGTTTCATTTGTTGCCCTTGGTAGAGTGCCATGGCGTCAGAGCTCACAGAAACCTCAAACTCTTTGGCTCAAGCAATCCTTTTGCCTCAGCCTCAGACTATAGGTCCCTACCACTGACACCCAGCAATTTTTTAGAGACAAGGTCTCACTCTTGCTCAGGCTGGGCTTAAACTCCTGAGCTCAGGCAATCCACCATCTGCCTTGGCCCCTCAGAGTACTAGGATTATAGGCATGAGCCACCGCACCCGGCCTGGTAATACTAGCTTCTAATATGGGCCATCTCTTCTATTTTTTGGAAGAGTTTGTGAATAATTGTTCTTAATGCTGCTTTAAATGTTTGGTATACTTCACCAGTGAAGCCTCTGGCTCTGGGCTTTTTGTGTGAGTTGTTGATTACTTATTTAACCCCTTGTTACTAGCATACTCAGTTCTTCTATTTCTTGCTAGTCAGTTTTGGTAATTTGTGTCATTCTAGCGATTGTCCTTTTCATATGGATTATCTGCTTTGCTGGTGTACAGTTGTTCATAATATCCCTCTTGTAATCTTTTTTCACTTCTGTAAGGTTAGTAGTGATGTCCCCTCTTTCATTCAGGCTTTTAGAAATTTGAGTCTTCTTTTTCTTCTTGGAGGGTCTAAAGATAAGTCAGTTTTGTTGTTATTTTTTTTTTCAAAGAACCAGTTTGGGGTTTTATTGATTTTCTTTATTATTTTTCTATTATCTATTTCATTTCCTTCTATTATTTTATTTTTCCATTTATGTTTTATTTAGTTTACTCTCTTTTCCTAGTTTTTCAAAATGCAAGATTATATTACTGCTTTGAGATTTCTTCTTTTTTAACGTAAGCATCTATAGCTATAAATTTTCCTATAAGCTCTGCCTTAATTGCATGCCGTATGTTTTGATATGTTTTCCATTTTCATTCATCTTAAAGTATTTTCTAATTTCTCTTGTGATTTTTTTCTTTGACCTATTGGTTATTTAAGACTATTGTTTAATTTCCTCATATCTGTGAATTTCCTAAATTTGTTTCTGTTACTAATTTTTTATTTATTTATTTTGTGGTCAGATTTTAATCCTTGATTTTAATCCTTTTAATCTATTAAGGCTTATATTATGGCTTAGCCTAGCTATAATATAGAATGTTCCAGTACTTTAGAACAATGTAATTCTGTTTGGGGTGGAATGTTTTTATACATAGCTATTAGTTGTAGTTGGTTTAGAGTACTATTCAAGTCTTCTATATTCTTGTTGATTTTCTACTTTATTGTTCTAGCCTTTAATTAATTAATTAATTCATCATTCATTCTATCCATTATTGAAACAAGAGTAGAGTATTGAAGTCCTAACTATTATTATTGAATTGTCTATGTTTCTTTTTACTGCTTTCAGTTCTTGCTTCATATAGTTTTTGTATCTATTGTTAAGTTCATATATGTTTATAATTACTTGATTATCTGACTGTTTTATCTTTTTTTATCTCTGGTAATGTTTTTGTCTTAAAGTCCATTTTGTCTACTATTAGTGTGGCCACTCTAGTTCTTCTGGTTGCTGTTTGCATGGTATTTCTTTTTTTTTTTTTTTTTTTGTCTTTTGCCCTTTAAACACTTGTATCTTTGAAACTAAATCTATCTCCTGTAGATAACATATAGATGGATCTTATGTTTTGTTTTTATCTAGTCTCACAATCTCTTCCCTTTTTATTTGATAATTTAATCCATTTGCATATGATGGTGTTAACAATATGCTTGGATTTACATCTGCCATTTAAGGTAAATCTCCAGCTATATTGCCACTCCCATGAAAGGTGATTTGAGATCACATGTGGAAGCATGGAACAATCATGACTATTTTGTTCTTCTTTTCCTCCTCTGTTTCAAAATTTATTTTTGTAAATGTTCTAAGGTAGAGGTTTACATCCAGATGGTTAGCTATGCTTGGTACTATTTTTAAAAATTGTCCTTTTCTGCTGAATTGTAATACCTCTGTGGTCATATATACATATCTTGTTTCCATATGTAGTTGGATATATTTATGAAATTTCTATTATGTTCTACTCACATATCTTGTGTCAGTACCTGTTGCTTTATTTTAGTAACTTAATGTAAAATTTTAAAATCTGGGTTTAAAAGTTCTTTATTTTCCTTCTTTTCAAATAATTGTTCTTGTGACTCTTGATATTCAAAAGAAAAGACTATTTGTAATTTGTTTAAGGCTTCACAAAATGTATACATACACACATATATATGTGTGCTTATATAAGCATTTACTCTCTAGTAACATGATATGTGTGAATTTAATTCATTTAAAATGAAAACTGGAGGCCAGGCACAGTGGCTCATGCCTATAATCCTAGCACTCTAGGAGGACAAGGCGGGTGGATTGCTTGAGCTCACGAGTTTAAGACCAGCCTGAGCAAAAGCGAGATCCCCATCTCTACTGAAATAGAAAAACTGAGGCAGGAGGATCGTCTGAGCCCAAGTTGGAGGTTGCTGTGAGCTATGACACCACAGCACTTTACCCAGGGCAACAGCTTGAGACTGTCTCAAAAAAAAAAAAAAAAAGAAGAAGAAGGAAAATAAACGACTTTTCAAACCAGATTTTGAAATTTTACATTAAATTACTAAAATAAAGCAACAGGTATTGACACAAGATATGTGAGTAGAACATAATAGAAATTTCATAAATATATCCAACTACATATGGAAACAAGATATGTATATATGACCACAGAGGTATTACAATTCAGCAGAAAAGGACAATTTTTAAAAATAGTACCAAGCATAGCTACCATCTGGATGTAAACCTCTACCCTAAAGATAAATAAATAAAAATAAAATGAAAACTGATAAATAGTAGCATCATACATTAAAATGAAACAGAACAAGATGATTTATGAATTGTCACCTAATGTTTTCTTAACATAGAGTGAATATCATGGAAATCAGTGCCATCAGGGCACTAAAAGAGAGAATGATTTCACGAAAAACTGACCTCACTCGGGCTTTTCAACTTCAAGACCCCAGAAAATCAGGTAATAAAATTATGTAACACTTACTGTTCCTTAACATACCAGTTTACGTACAGATGAGTTTTATTTCCTTCCTCCTTTTCTCCTCTTTCCCTCACTTCCTTCCTTTCCTTCTCTCTCTCTCTCTCTCTCTCTCTCTCTCTCTCTCTCTCTGTCTTTCTCTCTCCCTCCCTCCCTCCTTTCCTCCCTCCCTCCCTCCTTCCCTCCCTCCTTCATTCCTTGGGTTTCAGTTCTCCATTTTTGTTAGAAAGGAATGATAGAGGTAAAAATGAAATTAATTTTAAAAGTGAAATATAATCCACTATTACTTAAAAAAAAAAAAAGACATATTTTTTTCTTTTAAGCAAGCTTCTTTCAACTTAAAAAACCACCAGCACCTCTGAATTAGACTTCTATTTTGGTAGTATGTTAGATTAGACACCCTGGAGGGCCTTCATATTAATAAACAGCTAGATTCTGGAGGATGAAGAATTTTAAGGCATTTATGAGCTTTACAAAAAAGTAATCTCCCAGCTGCATCTCCACTCCTCATGAAAGGTAATTTAAAACCACATTTGGCCAGGTGCAGTTCTTCACACCTATGAGAGGCCCTGGCAGGGTGAATCGCTTGAGCTCAGAAGTTCAAGACCACTCTGAGCAAGAGTGAGACCCTGTCTCTAAAAAATAGCTGGGTGTTATGGTGGGCACCCATAGTCCCAGCTACTGGGGAGGCTGAGGCAAGAGTATTGCTTGAGCCCAGGAGTTTGAGGTTGCTTGAGCTATGATGCCAGGGCATTCTACCTAGGGTGGGTGACAAAGTGAGACTGTCTCAAGAAAAAGAAAAAGAAAGAAAATCAATCAGTATCATGACCACTTTAACACAATTAACAAAGTCAGTTCTATCAAAATAAAAATAATTGATGTATTTCACCTTGATCTCATGGTATTTTTAAATTTCAGATTAATGTAGGGGTACAGATGATTAGATTCCATAGTTTGTATTTGTAGGATTAAAGTCTGATTTAAAAGTGTGCCCTAGGGCGGTGCCTGTGGCTCAGGGGAGTGGGGTGCTGGCCCCATATACCAGAGGTGGCGGGTTCAGACCCAGCCCCAGGCCCAGCCAAAAACTGAAACTACTGTATACTAGATAGTGTGCTATATACCTGTGCAATGTACCCTTTGGGTGGGAATTTACCCAACTCCTTCCCTACTTCCCCTTTTAATTTAATTGAGTTTTTCTTTCATGTGAGCATGTAGGTGTTAATCTATTCGTTCCAATTTAGTACTGGGTACATATGGTATTTGCTTTTCCCTCTTGTGCTACTTCATTAAGGAGAATGGTCTCCAGTTCCATCCAGGTTGTTGCAAAAGATACATAATCTCTATCTTTTTTTACGGCTGAATAATATTACATGGTATACATATACCACAATTTGTTAATCCATTATGTGTTGAAGGACCCTTAGGTTGTTTCCACATCTTTGTGATTATGAATTGTACTGCTATAAACATTCCAGGGCAAGTGTCTTTATGATAGAACGCCTTTTTTTCCTTTGGGTCAATAACCTAGTAACGGGATTGCAGATCAAATGGTAGGTCTACTTTTAGTTCTTTGAGGATTCTCCATACTGCTTTCCATAGAGGTTGTACAAATTTGCAGTCCCACCAACAGTATGTAAGTGTTCCCTTTCTGCATCCATGCCAGCATCTGTTACTTTGGGACTTTATGATGTGAGCTGTTCTCTCTGGGGTTAGGTGATATCTCAGTGTGGTTTTGATTTGCATTTCTCTGATGGTTAGAGACGATAAGCATTTTTTCATGTGTTTGTTGGCCATTAATCTATATTTCTAGGAAAATTTCCTGTTCATGTCTTATCCAATTTCTAATGAGGTTGTTCAAATTCTTCTTGTTGATATACTTGAGTTCTTTTTAGATTCTGGTTATCACCCCTTTGTTGGATGGGTGGCATGCAAATACATTCTCCCATTCTGTAGGTTGTCTTTTTGCTTTGTTGATTGTATCCTTAGCTATGCAGAAGCTCTTGATCAGGTCCCATTTATTTACTTATTTATTTATTTATTTTTATTATTTATTTTTTTTGAGACAGAGTCTCACTACATCACCCTCAGTAGAGTGCTATGACATCATAGCTCATGGCAACTTCAAATTCTTAGGCTTAGGTGATTCTCTTGGCTCAGCCTCCCAAGTAGCTGAGACGACAGATGCCCGCCACAATGCCCAGCTATTTTTTTTAGAAATGAGATCTCACTCTGGCTCAGGCTGGTCTTGAACCTGTGAGCTCAGGTAATCCAGCCACCTTGGCCTCCCAGAGTAGTAGGATTACAAGCATGAGCCACCATGCCTGGCCTTATTTTTTTTATTTTTGAGACAGAGTCTCACTCTGGCACACTGGGTAGAGTGATGTGTTGTCATAGCTCACAGCAACTTCAAGCTCTTGGGCTCAAGTGATCCTCTTGCCTAAGTTTTTATATTTTTAGTAGGGATGGGGTCTCACTATTGCTCAGGCTGGTCTTGAACTCCTGAGCTCAAACAATCCACCCACCTTGGTCTCCCAGAGTGCTAGGATTACAGGTGTGAGCAACCATGCCCTGCCTCAGTAGTACAGACATTTTAATAATATTGATTCTTCTAAACCAGGATATTCTTCCATCAGTTAAGATCCTCTGCACTTTCATTTCTCAGTGTTTTGTAGTTCCCTCTATAGAAATGCTTCACATCCTTTATTACATATATTCTAAGATATTTAATTTTCTTTGATGCTATGGTGAAGGGTATTATGCCTTTGATTTGATTCTTGGCTTGCCTGCTATTGTCATATATGAAGGCTACTGATTTGTGTACATTAATTTTATATCCTAAGGCATTGCTCTCTTTCGTTTTCAATTCCAAGAGTCATTTTGTTGAGTCTTTCTGGTTTTCTAGGTCTGATTGTGTCATCCACAAAAAGTGATAATTTGACCTTCTCTTCCCTATTTGGATCCCTTTGATATCCTTCTCTTGTCTGATTGCTTTGGCTAGGACTTTGAGCACTATGTTAGTATGTATACTAGTAGTGATAGAGGACATCCTTTTGTGGTCCCTGTTCTGAGTGGAAACACTTGTTGCAGTGCAAGGAGGAGCCGCAAGGGTGACTGAGAATTCCCCAAAGAGGACTTTGCAGACCACGCGGTTCTGGAGGCAGAGGGAGAAATGGTGCCAAGAAATCAACATGCAGAGTTTCTATAAAAAAGTCTGCTGAGTCCTAGAGATGTGGACACCATTTCAGCCTATAGTGAAGCAGGTAGTTGCTGCCCTGATTTGAATTCTCAGGAGGTTTTTATGTAAGATTTTAAGGCATATGTTTATAGAAGGAAGAAGTTAATAGTCTCATGACTCAATCATGCCAATGCCAGTGGTCTTTTGATTATGATAAAGGTCCTCAGGGTGAAGGCATTAAATCCTAGAAAAATTCTCAAGGTCAGAACTAAGTAGCTAACAAACCAAGTTGCCTTAGGGGATAGGAGAGGACCAGTTATGGTTATAGCCTTCAGGCTAGATTATCTCTGGCTCAAGGGTAATGTTTAATACCCTTCTAATTTTACTGATATCCTGCCTCCGCTAAACTGCTGAATTTTATTCAGGTGTCCCCAAACTAGTTTTCTGTCTATTCTGGTGAACATTCTCACCCCCCTCACCACTGCCTCCATAGGTGTGCTAAGTAGCAGTCGGGTGGGGTGGGGGGCATGAGGCCCCAGGCATTCCAGCATAAGTCCTCTGGAATGTCTGCCTGCCACAAACGTTTTCAGTTTTTCTCTATTCAATATGATGCTGGCTGTGGGTTTGTTATAAATGGCTTCTACTATACATCAATTTGAGGGATGTCCCAACTATGCCAACTTTCTTAAGTGTAGATATCAAGAAAAAGTATTGAATATTTTCAAATGCTCTTTCTGCATCTATTAAGAGGATCATATGGTTTTTGTTTTTACTTCTGTTTATATGGTGAATTATATTTATAAATTTGCATATGTTGCACAGACCTTATATCCCTGGGATGAAGCCCACTTGATTGTGATGTATTATTTTTCTGATGTGTAGCTAAGTTCTGGTTGCTAAGATTTTGTTGATTAATTTTGCATCTATATTCACCAAATATATTGGTCTGTAGTTTTTTTTTTCATCACATCCTTCCTTGGTTTGAGTATCAGAGTGATGTTTGCTTTATAGAAGGAGATGGAGAGAGTTTCTTCCTTCTCAGTGTTATGGAATATATTCTGGAATATAGGTACTAGCTCTTTGAAGGTTTGGTAGACTTCTGGTATAAAACCATCTGGTCCAGGACATTTTTTGTGGAAGATTTTTTTATTGTGGTTTCAGTTTTAGAGCTAACTGATATTGGTCTATTCAGGAGTTCTGTTTCTTCCTGGTTCAGTCTAGGGAGGTAGTGAGATTCCAGGAATTGGTTCATTTCTTCCACATTTTTAAATTTCTGTGCATAGAGATTTTTGTATCATCACTGATACAAAATAGTGGTGCTCTTTTGTATTTCTGTGGTATCTGTTATTTCCCCCTTTTCATTTCTGACTGAGTTTATTAAAGATGTATTTTTTGGTTCTCGTAAACTGGCCAATGGCTTGTTAATTTTGTTTATCTTTTCAAAGAACTAGTTTGAACCTTTTTCTTTTGTTAATCCTCTGAATGGTTCTTTTCTTCTTGTTTTCATTTATTTCTGATCTGATTTTGGTTATTTCTTCTGCTGGGTTTGGGATTAGATTGCTCTTCTTCCAGTTCCTTGAGATGATTCATTAGATTGTTGATTTGTGTTCTTTCTAGTTTCTGGATGTGGACATTTAAAGTAATGAATTTTCCTCTCAGGATTGCTTTTGCAGTATCCCACAGGTTTTGGTAGCTTGTGGACTCATTGTCATTTTGTTCAAGGAATCTAATGATGTTCTTCTTTATCTTCTCCTTGACCTAGCTATCACTCAGCAATAAGGTGTTTAGTTTCCATGAGTTTGTGTGG